TTACATATTAATAATTAATATATAAATCATACGAGCGCGATCGCGCTTCGATCTCTTTGAAACGGCGCGTGCGACCGCATTCGTGCTGCGGTAAGCTCGCTACCCTATTTGAAAGTTGTCCGGCAGTGTTCAACTTGTTTGGCCCTATCGAGGCAAATCTCCCTCCCGCCCACGTACGAAGGAACGGACACAATCTCTCTCGAGTACGCCGGACCGACGACCGCGGACACGAACTTCGATTTCGAGTACACAAGAGACATCGAGTACGCGTCTACCTAACGCCAATCCAGGTCAAAGTGTATTTTCTCGGTCGCACTCTGACGGCGGCAAACGAACCGCAGCGGGTGCGCGCGCTCGAAATTCGCCAAGGGGCAAACTTTCCCTTTCCCCTCCCCTCTTCCCTTCTCCCTCTTTTGACTTAATTGGCGGCTTTCTCGCACGGGGGGACCGTCTTTGACTGTCCTTTCAACGACGAGGGAAGTCCGAAACTCACCAATGGTCAGCGGCGCGAAACAATGGTATAAAGACTCGCGAAGTAACGAGCTAACAGTCAAGCAGCGAGCTGTCATCTCAAAGATATATTGAAAGTACGGAAAGCTAGTAAGGTATACCATCGTGCATTTCGTTTATGCACATCTGTCGATATATATTAAATATTAAATCGATAATTTTTCAGCTGAATATATAAGTTCTAGCAACTAGGAATGTATTTTTTATTGAATGATTATTTTTATTTAATTGAATTGAATTTCTGTCGGTTATGTATTATTTGATAGAACAATATCAGTGATATCTTAAGATTCCGTTTTCTTGCCTTGCGGTTTTTCCGCATAGCAACGGGTGGTAACTTCAAACCACAAGGAAGCCGTTCGATCAATCGTAGACTTGTTCTATGTCTCCTCGATTTTCCAATTTATTGGAGATATTCCCAGTTTTGTGAAAATCACGTAGACGCGGAAGACCAATAAAATCGCGTTATTTGTTCTTTGTCACGGTAAATCACTTCTTTCGAGTTCTTGAATGTGGTAACTAACTTAATTGGCGGCTTTGAGACAGCCGCGGACCGTCTTTGTGGATTGAAGTGGCGCGGGACCACGACGCTTCAGAGGGTCGTGGACGGCAACTAAGAAGCTCGAAACTTGTTAATGGCATGGGTGTTATGGGACAATGGCGTAAAGACCATTGAGATTACGAGGGGACTACGAGAGACTTTGCATTTGATGCAAACGACCAATTAAGTTGTTAAAGGAACACGTTTTTCTCTTTTCGAATCGAGTGCGTTAAATGTGGAAAATAATTTAATTAATATCGCGACATTTTCTAAAATGTATATAAGACGATTTGTATGAATGAATTTCCGAAATTAATCTAAAATTGATTTTTCCTTAACAAGAATATGAATAGCTTCTGAGTTGCGAGCGATTGAAAATGTCAAAAGATGAATTAAGGTTTAGGAGTGTAAATGGATGATTACACAAACGAGCGATTATTCGATACTGGATTTATGACCGTTGTTGGACTTTGCACATATTTAGTAAATGACAGTGAAATACAATATGGCAGATTGGTCTGCTCAGTAGAGATATAATGCCTCGACGCAAAGCCATGTTCGCTAGTTACTGGTCAGTGGAAACGGTAAATCTAAACGCTTACATGGATACCGCATTACGTATACGGGAACTACCGCGCGCGTTTATGCGAGTCGCTATTATTTTGAATATCAATGCGACATTAAGCCGATGTAAACTGGAGGCAAATACGCTCCGCGCTCCCTTAGCGAATAAAATCATTTGGCCACAGGTGTCATTTCCGACAATTTGGCCGCTGTTATTTTCATTTACATCAAATTTTACCGTCATTCCGAGGACATTGTGGTTTTGGAAACACGAGATGGTTCGTAGTATTCCCTAAATAAATATCAAAACACATTTAGTTAAATGTTATTTTTAACGCAGGTACAAAAAAAAATATCCCTCATTAAGTGCAACTTTAATTCCGGTTTGTAAAAATTGAGTCAAATATATATAAAAAAAAAACTATGCACGTAAAATAATTTGCCATGCGATAGAAAAATAATTTTGCAGTAATTGGCAATTTTTTTTTAGATACATTTCAGTAGCACACGAAATGAAATTTTCAATCTTCACGCGCACGAGAAAACCAATACTATAATTTTGATTGCTACGCAGAATTGCGAGAGATTCACGCGCGTGACGATAACGTATTAAGTTTTTTTTTTTTTTTTTTTGTTTTTGGTACAATGCACACCCGTTATTTTGCTCATATCGCAGCAATCTTGCTTTAAACTGCGGCGGAAAAATTCGACGGATTTAGTTATATTCTTGTAATTCCTTTGAACGCGCGATGAATATTTGCTTTGAAGTAATCTGCAGCGGAAAAGGGTACGCGCCCCCTGATATGAATAACCTTTCTCATCGAGACAGGAGGATGGGAGAGAAAGGGAGGGAGAAAGTGAGAGAGAGAGAGGGAGAGCGAAAAAGAGAGTTAATTTTACGACGAGAAAAATGCGCGTTTACTGGCCGGTCGTGAGTAAGGGACGAGCGCCCGAAGCGAAGCGCGCTGAATTCGTTTCTTGTCCCTGGCGCGAGTGGTTTTGTACCTTTGTAATAAAACTGCATTTCCATTTCCGCGTACAGCACGCGCGCGTTGAAATTAACGTTACGCGGAGACGGGTATTACGGGGCGGAGTTTCCGGTTAATGGACCGTAACGTTTATATCTGGATGCTCTTGGTAATTTATCGGCGACGCGATAAACGCGCCATAAACGTTACCCAGCCATTGACACTGACTGAATACACGCATCTTTATACACGTCCCGTGTTTTTGTAGGGATATTATATCCGAAAATTTGACGATAACTATAAGGAGGCGAAGCGTAGAGATTTTCTCTCGTACACACCGGGTATATAAAGCCGAAAATCACGGGTAGGGAACGACGCTGTGATCCAACTATCTTCCGCCCTTTACCTCTACTTCTCTCTCCCAATCTTGGCGATAAGTTTCCCTCTGCTGAGGTGCTCGGCAGTGTGTTTGTGGACGGGAGCACGAGGACGCTTTTATG